GATTTTATTTCTCTTTACTCAGAGTTTATTGTCTTTGATAGAAACAAAGGCAAATTAAAAGAATTATTTCTGTGTTTTGTTTTTAAATGTGGTGACGAAAAGCAAAAGCTCAAAATAATAATGCTTCTTTGGATACCTGCTTTGGAATATGCTTAATATGGAAACTAGAACTAGACTTGCATGATTCAGTTGTACGTGGCTTTACTAATTTTAAAAATAATTATTTTTTATTTCTCTATCAGCTTCCAATTAGACAAATTTTCAGAGAATTACTTAGTAAGAATAGACCACATTCACAAAAAACAAAACAAAATATGCCATGTGCCAATCTTTCACTCCCAAGGATACAAAATACAGTTCTATTTTAAAATCCTTTCCAGACTTAATATATTGTGTTGCTTAGACTATGTACAACCACATTTGCAAAACTTGCCTTAAAATTAGACTTTCTCTTTATCAAACCACTATGCAACAGAAGCAGCTGAATATGTTAATATCTGAGACAGTGCAGTGCAACCCAATGCAATATCAACCATTACAACTGTGCTGTCACAAGCATGTAACCTACTCAGAGACATTCTGACTCTGTTCCAGTATTCCCTGGGGTAGTTAGAAACTTTCTTTCACTTGAGTGTTTTTGTGACCCTTTTTTTTTTTTTTCTACTACTAAAGATATCCAGAAAGTATCAGGGTGCTACCAGGTATAGAGATAAATATACAGCTAAACATACAGGTAAAATAACAGCTTTGAAACAAGGGGTCCAACAAGATTTTATGAGGTGGTACACATGACAAAACCTCTCTCCACTTACTAACCTCCTGTCTCTGATCCCACTCTTTCCTTGCCTTGCCAAGCTAGAGCAAGGTTTGAAATACAGGCACCAAGAAATGTTTCCAAAGGTACCACATCACAGCTGTGGATTCCCAGATGACAAATTAGCCCTATAACAGCAGACTCAGGAAAGCAGGTGAAGAGCACTTGAATAATTTGATACTATAGTTCAGTTCACTTCATAAGTGCAAGGCTGAGGTCTGCATAAAGAGCGTTGCACTGCAGTCTGGCCTCAACTGAGCTAGAAGCGCTGTTAAACTGTTAGTATAAATAAGTGTCACAGCCCATGCTGTCGTTCAGCTATGGTGTTCCATACATCTGTACTTAACTCCAAGCCAACTTCCTTTCCAGGTCACTATTCAATTATTTTAATTAGGAAAAAAAATTACACGGTAGCTACAGTAGCAAAAAGGGAAACAAGCCACTACTATGCAGATTTTAGCTACAATGTTTTAAATCTAAGGACAAAAACCCTCCTATAATTGCATATTTCATACAAAGTTGCCCAACTTGATATAAAATCCTCAGCTTGCAGAGTCATTTCAGTTCCAAACTTGATGACATTCTTAGGCATTTATCTGCTGCTTTCATGACTGTCATATCCAGACAGTGCTTTGCTAACCTGCTTGTTATCAATACTCCTCGGAACTGGCCTAGCACAAGGCTACCAACATTCCCAGGTGCTGTTGCGCTAATGTCAAATAAAAGGCTCACAGCCTCTCCTACCTCCCCCAGCCTTAATTTACCCACCCCTGTTTAAAGAGGCAGCCAGAGAGCTGCTAGGTACTCCCCAACCTCTTTTCAATGTACTAATGAAACCCTGAGCAAGATGAACTGATGTTTTATAACCAAACTTTTACTGGAGTAATGGACACTAATGTAAAGTGAAGTAATTCACAGATGGAAATAGTTAAGCTCATTGTGCTCTGACAGTTAACTCCATTACACAGCTTTCTTTCAAGCTATTCAGAGTTCCTCTGTCTACAGCTATTCCTTCCTGCTCTTCCTCACAAAACAAACATGATGACAGCAAAAAATGGGTACTTTTGTGTCACACCTACGCGGCACCTTTCATCAAAGCACCTTATTTCACTAACAAAATATCAGGCCACCAATAGAGAAAATGTTTCTCACCACACCACTCAGACAAGCAAGCTATAGATCTAACTCTACGGTGCTTTTAAAGACGCAGAACATAGGTGTATGTTTTAAATGTGTAAAACCCTGTGTGCAAGAAAGATGAGACAATGTCTTTGGAGCCCTCCTAGTTAAATCCCATCCCCTCCTGTTGGGGCAAGAGTCTGTTTCACTGAACCAGCTGTGGAGATCTCCCACAAACCCAGTAGATTTCCAGATGCCCATGAAAGGCAATCTTCTGGGAAACAATGCAGCTCTGTAAATAGCACCAGAGTGACTATATGCATGTATTTATATATATGCACCTACACTTTATGCACTCTCCCTCCTTCTGCAGAGGCAATGAGAGAAGCACTGACTGAGGAACTGAAGTATGTGATTTGTCCAAAGACCTTCCAAAGAGGCTGTAAAGGAGCTCTGAATCACACTTGCGGAGCAGCCTTAATTTTGAGCCTTGCAGTCAAGAGTCCGTACGCCATGAAAAATAACTCCTCAGGTTACAGCTCTTTGGTGCTGTATAAGGTGGAATGTCTTTGGTATAAGAGCCTTACCCCAGAAATTGCAGGAATCAGTACATATCACATGAGACTGCCAAACTCCAAATCACACATTCTTCTGCAGAGATTCTTATTCAGTCTTACTAACATACAGCTTTTACTATACATCACCTTTACTAGCAGCTTTGATGTAGACATGCAGATTATGCTGCATAATGAATGTGGAGGTTGCACAATTGTTTTCGATGTCTAATCTGTCTAAAAACAGATAATAATTTACATGGAAATTGTATCTACCAGAGGGAGCCCAAATGGCCAATATAATAGAACCACATTGACACAGGCAAGAAATGTTAAACAAACACTTTAGATACAGGCTGCACAGTTCAGACAAGATTCATCCCTTAGTTCCACATGCATATAATTTCATAAAATTCAGAAGTAATGAATTACATAATTGTGCTGGTTTTTTTGATCTGCCCTTCCAAAACAAGTTGATCAGGTGTTTCAACCATCTATAACATGTATGAAAACAGTAAAGGACAAAAATAAAGAAAGATTGAAATGTTTCCCCTTTTTCTAGCTTTATTATAGTTACTGTGAACATTCTGAAGCATGCTATTGCACCACTGAAAGAAGAAAAAAGAAACATAGGCATTCCCCCATCAAAGGAAACAATCAAATTTCAACATGACAACAGAGAAGGATTATAAGCAGCTAAAATTGGGCAACATCTGAGAAAAGACCAGGTGAAAATAGTTAACACACCTGTGGACATATGACAGCATTACTATCTGTTGGAAGTTCCATTAACTGCTTGTTTTCTCCCATCTCTCCTTCTTCCTTTTCCTTTTTCATTCAGAATTTACAAGTAAACATAAAACTTTTTAGAAACACATACAGTAAAATCTTGGACTTCAGCTTTTACTCATGGAACGGATATAGCCCATAATCCTATACAGTGTCATAAAAGTCCCAGCTCTCACTGAGAATCACATTTTAGGTATATAGAGCCTCCACATCTCTTTGGTGCTTGCCAAGTCTGTCCACACATGTATCAATTACTAACATCAGCTTTTGTGATACCCAAGGATTTGGAATGAAACAAGGAGGTCTCTTATACAGACTACTCAAGACCAAGGCAATCTTTTCTGTTTCACATCAGTTAGAGCTAAATTCAAATGAATAACTCACAACCCTGTTCTGAAAATAAATGCAGCATGCTTAATTTTCAGTACTTCCTGAAGGCAGTTGTCAGTAGCTTTACACCTACAGGAACAGGGGGGAAAAAAAAAAATAATCAAATAATAAAATTAAAGCATGCACAAGCAATTAAAGTATCAGGGAAAAAAAATGAGCAGCATTACAGTTATCATTTCTGTAAGCTGCATCACTTCATCACTTCCCATGCCTCTGTGTTTACTATCTTTTTCCTTTCTTCCTGCAAACTTGCATGCATTTACCTCTGTACAAAGAAGCTGCCTCGGGAGTCCAAATCAAGATTATGGTTGTGTGAAAGGCAAACTGTAAATTCTCATTCTGTAGTTAGACAATGCTTCACATAACTAACATTCAGTTTTTAGTGAGACTTCAGAGAGGTTCCTAATTACAATTAAAAAATCCTTTGTCAATATCCTAAATTTATAGCCTTTTCCTGGAAAAAAATTAATTAAACATAAATCAAATCAGGCAGACTCTGAACCTGCAAACCCCTGAAAATGACATGGTTCCACTTTCATTACATTGTCTTTGATCAAAATCAGAGCCATTCATAATTTTAAATAAGTTGAAACCAACGTTCTACCCATGAGTGCAAAAGATAGGTATTTCCAAGCGGTAAGTAGTCTGAGGTGAATTTCCTAGTTTGTATGTTCAAACTATGTTCAGTTTTCTGTAGATGTGTCCAGACAAAATATGAAGAGGCAAGTTTTTTTTGTTTGAACTAAAGTTCTTTCTGACAACAGAACATCACAGAACCTATCACAGAACATCACATGCTCACTTACATAACTTTACTTGCATGCACTACTCCACTGGTTTTGATGCGACTCTTCACATATGTAAAACTACTCATATTCCTAAGCATGTGAAGATTAGAATTTTAACCGGCTGCTCCCAAAACTGTCTATTGAATTTGTTTGGGCTATAAGTAACATTTCTGAACACTTAAAAGTCAATTTTTCCCTCTTTTCCTCTATCCAAAGAAACGTACACGGCCCTAGAGAAAAATTAAAAAACTAAGCCTCCTTAGCGTGAAAACACAGTTCTTTCACAAAAAGAGTCTGAAACAATGGCATTTGCTCAGTATGTATTTGACAAAGCTGTTATACTCTTTAACCTTCCAGTTTAACAATTTCCGGAAAAGAGCTCAAAGTTCAGATGAGATACCACACTGAAAGAAAGATGTGTATAGTTGCAGACAGGATCAGATAACACCTGTGTGGTGTATGGACTCATTAAAGATTTAACAAGAGAAGTCACATGTACACTGAAAAATGGCTGACAACTGTTATGCTTAATGCACTTAAACTTTGCTCAAAAGAAGGAAGCAAAATGGAGTTACCTCTGGATGAGGAGGACGGCACTTTCACCAACATTTCTTTGGCAGACGATTCAGGTAAGGAACTACAGTAATCTAGTGATGAACTACAGATTCCATCAGCTGAATAATAACACTGGGTGAGCACACAAATCTCTTGTTCCTCATTACCAAGTACAATGTATTTTTAGAAAATGCCCTTAAGTAAACAGCTGAATAAGCCTTACGACTAATTAAAAATTGAGATTTTGGGGGGTCTAGGGGCTATCACAGTTTTCACATAATAGCATATGTTAAGAATAAGATATCTGCTCAGATAAGAAATACATGTTATCTTTCACTTGTTTAGAAAGAAAAAAATTTCAGAAGCGTTAACTTAGTAGTTGCTAATATCAAAAAAATACAGATAGTCTCAGCCTTTCCTCTTGAATGTGGAAAGGTGCTGTTTGACATGCTCTAGTGAGAGCTCACAAAAAGTGATACAAACTAATTAGTAACAGAAATGAACTGATCATTTAAATCCCCATTATTAAGAATTTAGTAGTTTTTAAGGAAACTACAAAAGCAAAGAATGTCTCCCTTTGCCCCTCTAACTTACGGAGTAAAAGTGATTTGGAATGAGAGGCAGGATATTTCTATATACTGGAAAAATGACGTGAGTTAATATGAGTGACAATAAATTATTTAGAAAGGTGCGGCCAGAGTATCAACTGTAGCAAGTCAGCATGGCTGCCATAGACCTGTGCTAATTTACACTAGCTTCTGGATTGTTGATTAATGAATAATGCAAGTCCCATTTTTCCTTTCTTTTTTTTTTTTAAGATTAAAAAAAAATGTTATTTTAAGTTCCATCTTCTATACCTTGTATATAAAAAGCACATGAAGTTAACCTTATTTTTAGAATGCAGTTCTTCAGCAATTTCATATGAGCATGATGGAGCTGAAATGGATGTTTCAATGCAATTACTTTGTTTTTTTTAAAGCATATAGCTTAGTGACATATGTGGTTGACTTGAACTATTCACAATAAGATAAAATTTAAGTCCTTGGGGCAAGTCTTGCAATAACAGAGTGTCTTCCTGACAGTGAACCTAAGACTATTTCTCTGAAAAAGTGCAGAACAGTAAGTTTCCTACGACACCTTTTCGTGGCTTGCTGCACAGATAATAGGGCAAGAACAGATTAGGAATGACTCTGCAATGACTTCCAGAGAGGCTAAGCTATGCAACAGTAAAGCCAGCCTAGGCATTCAGGACTTGATATTCACTAATGCTTAAGCTCTGACAGATATCACAGATGTAGAAGTAACTGCTCAGCAATAGTGCAAATAAGATTCTGCTGCACCTAAGAAATTGCACCTCTAAAATTACTAGATTCTTGACTGCAGTAACACACCCAAAGTCATATGAAGCTCGTGTTCACATCAGGAAGAGGACTTTGCTCCTGTGCTATTCCTTTCTATTCTGAAATTCAGTCCCTTCTGAGTTACACAAACATTGTTATTGCTGATTGCACTGTATAGCAGAACTTTCCATTTTTTTTAAACCACTTCCAGACAGCATTAATAGTTCCCCTCTTCATCTGAAATTAAACAAGTAAGATGTGTAGCATGCACTGCACAAAGATCTGAAGTACAAGTGGATCGCTCTCCAAGAAGACTGAACTCCCCAAATGAGGCCTCTTAATACAAGATCTGCTACTGATACCAGAGCGTTTTCCCAGTAGTGAAGAGGGAGGGAGAGTCACTCAAAAGTCGAGAGAGAAATTCAGAGCAACTGAAAACAAAGTGATATATTCAGGTAAGCTTTCTCTTGAAGGTAGAGAGAGAGAGAGAGAGAGAGAGAGAGAGAGAGAGAGAGAGAGAATATAGTAAGGTTCATGGAGAGAGGAGGAGAAAAGTATTATACAGTGAGAGAGAAAAAGATTCCTTAGGATGGACAACAGTAAGTTCATGCAAGGAATAAAGAAACACAACAAGCAATACATACATCTTAAAATAACATTATGAACAAGCGGACTTTGCCTGAGGATGAGCTGATGATGTTTAGAAGCAAGTGTTCCATAATTACAATTTAAGTAGGATCACAAAGATGCACTGGTTTTAATGAACTACGTTATATTTGCACTCACCACATGAGGCTTTCCTCCCATCTTTTAAAAATGTACTAACATAGACAAGTAGAAGAATGCGTTACATATATACAATCTGATAACATAATCAAAAAAAAATCCTTCATATCAGAGTTTCTTTAGTATAGTGAAAAGCTATTGTGACAAAGCAACAGGGGTTTCTGAGCCTGATTAACTGAGCGCAATCCATGAATATTTAATAGCTAATGCTCTTTCAAAACAGTAGCATTTTGCTAGTCATTCAGTACACAGGTATTAAAAATAAATCACTTTAAATCAGGATGAAAATGAAATGGCAGCAAGACAAAATTCTTGATCAATATGTTAATAGCAATATCACAAGCCTTTGAAACCAAGGAAAGCATTCATTAACAGCATTTGTGAGAGGTAAGAAAATATTTTCACCCTTAGTGAAAGAAATATCCTTTAATGTATAAAATCATAGCACTCAATTGATAATCTTTCCCCCCCTAAAATTACAGGCCCAAATGAAAGTAAAGAAGAAATTAAGCCAAAAAGAAAACAAAACAGTGAAACAATACCTAAAAGTTGCATAAACTTCTCTTATTCTTTTTTTAAATTACTATTTCCCAGAAAGCCAACATGAAGGACTGAATTTCTCATATATTCTCATACATTCTCTTTAAAAAGCAGAAATAAAGCTCTAAATACTTAGGCCTAACTTAATAAAACAGGAAAATAGCTTTTCATCTCATTGTTACTAGTACAGCTTTATGGAACCTCGCTAAAAAGTCCTTCCACGAAATTCGGTGACAGACACACAGCAGATGATTACAAGGAGGATCAAACTGGTAACAGGCCAACATGATGCCACGTGTTGGTATTTACAGCTTGACACTGCAACGAGTGCCATTCATTTCATCCTCCATCTTCTACGCACAACTTAAAAAAACAAACAAAAAAAAGGCTTGTTCAGCTCCTCATTCTGCACTCATCTGTGTGCAGTCCGTGTACAAACGAATACATGCACCCCTGCACGATCTTGCAATCAGATAGGATACAATTTCCTCAGAAGGGAGGCCTTCTTAGAATTAATGAGAAAATATAGCTTTCTAAGGCTCTCTTTTTGTAGGCTTTTTAAAGAGATTCCCTCCCCCTCCACAACTATATGCTCATAGATTACCTCATCCATGAAGTCCCGTTCTCATTTGGTGCCTAAGGCTCTACCACAACGTAGACAGTAATTAGGGACATACACAATAGTTAGATCAATGTGAGCCAAAAGAGCTGTTCATTTTGTGTAATAATTTGATTTTGTCTGGAAAAGTGCAAACTAAAAACTACTCACAAATTCTGCATTTGACAAAAGTCTTTCTTTGAGCTGTGGCTGTAAATTTGCACAAGGTATTATGCGCTACAAGCCTCTTGTGGTTGTACAGAAAGCAACAAAACTAAAAAAAGCTTCTCAGAGGCTGTCATCTCTGCAGAGAGACAAAATGGTAAAGAGTTGACATAAAGGGTCTGTACCAGTTACTATTGCAAGGAAAAAGTATTAAGCCAGTAGTATTCCTTATCATCTTTTTCTTTGTGGCAACACTAGTTAAAGGAGAAAGCTACAGTTCAAATAGTGAACTCATCTCAGAAACGCATACAATACTTTCTGTTGATGAAAAGGAGAATACACTTCTATTCTGCTGATGAACAGTGAAGCCTCTGTTATCCGTTAGTTTACACTGGCATCTCTAGTGCCTGAAACCTTGCCAAAAAGGAAGTGGAAGGCTTACTGGTTTGCACTGCATACCATGGAAAAATAGGACGTACACACGTTTTAGAAATAAAACATCTGAAGCTGTTTGCTATTAACGGTGATGTACTACTAGAATCTGAGTCAAGAGCAATAAAATTCTCTCTCATAGGTTTGTAACTGTACACATACATGCATTCAAGTTAACTCCTATTGATGCCTAATATCCGAGAGAGGTTGTTGCTATTTTAAACAAAAATGTTATTTTCAGTGAAACTGAATAAATTAATTCTTTTTGCTAGCAATGTTAGCTAGTTTTAGGAAACCTTAATTGGAACTTAGGATACACGTAAGTACAGATAATTGCATTTGTACAGTGAAACTTGCTGTTCTTGTAAAAGGAAGATAATATAAGGCTCCAATATCATGAATGCCTCCCCTGCTTTGGCAAAATGCCTCAGAGAATATTATAAAAAGAATAATAAAAAAAGAAATGGATTAGCACTGGATTAGCCCTCAACAGTATATGCAGCAAAACAGAAACAGTAGGTAAACCAGTAGCTCTTAGAATTACTACTGTTGACCCCATCACATTATTCACTATTACTCTGCTCATTTTGAGACAGCTTAGACAAGAGACAGCAAGTACAATGTAGTGAGCAAGGAGGAACTTCTGCATCAGTGAGGGGTGCTTCCTCAGGATTAACCTGTAACAATTTTTTTCCTGTTATGGTATAAAACACAGGAAGTTTCTTCACCTGGTAAGCAATGCCTCCGTGTATCCATCTGTATCTGTTTGTAAACTCTAGCCATATTTCCTCTTCTCCTCCCCACCTTCCTTAATCATAGTGCTGAAGACTGTCTCACTAGAGAGCATTAGGAGAACCTGCTGATTGCCAAGCATGCCACGTAACAAGTGCAAGCAAGATCATAACAGGGTGACAAGCGCATGTCACTTTAAAAACAGCAATCAAGGAGAGTTACTGACAAGTTCCTAAAGCCCAGCTATGATCTGAGAGGACTGCCTGCAGGGATTAAGAAGGATTACTGGGGTTAAAAAGGCCTTTTGTAGAGAAGGTAATATACTTTGTTCTAAGCAGACCAGCTAACAGGAGGGAGGAGGGTAACAACACTCATTTTCCAATACAAACAGCCTGCAGCAGCTCTAATTAAAATATGTTTTCAAACTTGAACAATGTTCATTCTAATCTGAATTCATATGATTGTGAAGTTAAAGCCAGTTGTTTAATTAACAACCTGTTAATACTGTGGAGGCACCCACAAGATGTAAGATATTAGAAAGACATACTTTCCAAAGTGTATTAAAAAAAATATAGCAGGGGACACACTTCCCAAATGCTTGTACCTTCCTCCACATCTACACGGCATCAAATTATTTAACTAAAATGAGATATATTTCTGCCCCACCCCTGTAACATACAGGTCAAGAACCAGTAAGGAAAGAGCTTCCAGAAACCCAATAATAAAAGGGTAAAAAGTGGCAGCTTCAGTTTGCATGCCACTCCCTACTTGACCAATAGGAGGCCCAAGTGCAGAAGCAGAAAACCCCTCAAAAGGTAACAAAATCCTTCAGACATCCTTGTTTTGCTCTTCTTTCTTTCACCTCTCTTACAAATGACTAGAAGCTTATTTTGGGCCAAATGACTTCAAGACACCTGAGTAATCAAACATAAGCACAGGTGTATTCAAGCAAAGAATCTGGTTCACAGGCAACATATTAAATTAACATTTCAAACTGAAGGAAGGGTGTTCAAACATCTTACAAAACATCAAGATATTTCCTATCCAAAAGCATGCAAATTATGAACAAGCAGATTATCTCAAATCTCCTAGTGCTGATATTAATGTAAATTATCGAGGACAGAAGACTAGCTTTTTGTTTTCTGTTTGTACAGCACTTACAGCAATAGGATCTTGGTCAATGTTCGTATGTCTTCCAGACCTTTTAGAAATACAAGCAAAGAATTGTAGCAATGGAAAGCAATTTTCTGTAAGAACGTACAGCAAGCCTCAAGAAAAAAGAGAAATGGTGTCTGCTTTCCAGTACCTCAGGGTAAGGGACAGCTGGGGATATCTAGAGCAAAGGAATACCCAAATACACAGTATCTGTACAGGTACTACAGGGTACACAGTGCAGAGTCACTTCAGTGAAGCCACTGACATTAACTCAGGTCCCACAGACTGTCCTACCAGGTCCAAAGGGGACAACACGTCTGGCCAGTGTTTTACTCTAGGGATCCAGGCAAGCTGCCAATGCCTTTGTGCAAGCGCTAATAACTTCTAGGGAACACAACGCAGAAACCATAGTGCTGGTTTAGAGTTACTTAGTTGCTCTAGTCTAGCCAGGTTATGTGAAGTTACTTAGGTTTCTTTGTGATATGATCTCCAGTGCTGTAAGATCCAGAAGCAAGGTGCTAATTCACAGGTTTCTTGAGCTGGGCACTCTGTTGTAGGCTAATCTACTGGAAGCAGTACAGCCATGCTTACATAGCTTGTACCTGAGCAAGTAAACCCCGCTGGACTCCAGCTGGTTGAAAACTGTTTCTCCTCCCTCCAGAAGCCTTCATATATGACTGAGAGCTGACTGAAATCACACATTTGTGACTCTTCTGCAATGCTTCTCAGGCTTTGCCAGCCTACACAACATTGAAAGAGTCGCACACCGAAGAAAATATGCCTTTCCCTTACTTAATTTCTTCTGAAACAACAAAGAACGACAAGCCTCCGGTTAAGGACTAGCGCTCTAAATATCTGCGGTAGTATCTCAGCACCAAACAAATTTGCTTTTATCAGAAAAACGTTGATATGAACTTAGCCGCATACTTACTTTCATTATTTCAGCCGTAATTCAGCGGCACGACTTAACGGGAAAGGACTGTACGCGATTAAGAACCAAAAAAACAAAACCAAACCAAACCCCCCCCACCACGCGCTTCCCCGACCCCTGCCTGGGAGGGAGGCGGGGGCTGCGATAGCCTTTCCCGGACGCCAGAGGGCCCCCTCGCCCCACACACCGCTGCCTCGCCTGCAGCGCCC